TCAAATCATCGTTGATAGAGTTACACAAGTTTCATGGAGTCCCAACCTAAATTTTTCTTTTTACAATCTTGGGGACAAAGATTCAAAATGAGCTTTTGCAAGTTATCCTTCCCATAAATTTCATTTTTTTTTTTCATTAAAAAATTTTGTTTATCTGATTAATAATATTTTAGTCCGGTGACAGTACCGACCGATCCCTCAAAGCGCTTGCTGAGTTCGTTACTCGAATATCAGAAAAGGGCGTTGATGGCATTGTGAAAGAGTACAAGTATGTTTATGTATTTTATTCAAAAAGGCTTTTAGTAGATTTTTTAGAGTTTAATAATAATAATAATAGTAAGGAGTTCTTAAGGTTTGTTATTTTTTTGTTAAATCGTCGGACGATTTTCGAGATTTTCTTGAGAATTTTTCATTCAGAAATAACAATAATAGTAACAGCAAAATGATCGTTATGGTCGTTTATTGATTTTAAAGATGAAGAGTCCCCCCTCCGTTTCAAGGATGGTCGACCATCATTGAAAATTGGCTGGCCACGCCCTTGCCCCACCCACTTTGGTAAAATTTGACTAAGCCCCTTCTCCCTTTTTCTCATAAGATTTTCTGTAATTTTTTTAAAACTACATGCTCAGCAATTGAGTGCTTGAAAGAAAAAAACCAGATTTTTCAGATTCACTGTATTTTAAGGATTTATTTATGTGTACAAGTCATGATCATATTTCAGTACATCTATTTGTTCAAGTCCATCCCCCTTCTACTTACTTGCAGGCGCCTAGACAACTTCTTCGACACCACCGCCACGTATGAAGCGTTTCGGGCAAATATGATGAAGAACAGATACTCAGGTAAAGACTCTTTTCCTTTTTCTGATTCATTTCAACTTGTAATGCGAGAACATTTTTAGATGTGGTTTGCACAGATTCCACAAGAGTGAAGTTAAAATTGGGTGAAAAAGAGCATGGTGACTATATTCATGCAAACATTGTTAAGTCACCACTTCTCACCACAAAGTTCATCTGCACACAGGTAAGTGCATTTCACTTGCTAAAAGACCTCAATGGAGACTCGACTATTAGGGAGATTGAAGTTGGTATTGACAGCCAAAAGTGCATATTTAATAGTTGTCAGCTACGAGGGAGTGATAATAGATTGTCGCGATTTTTTTTGTCGTTTATCAAATTTTATTCCAGTTAGAAGAATATTTTAGTACAAGTACACTAATAATTAAGCCTTAATTTGAATGAAAAATCTTACGAAGCCAGAAAAGTTACGGAGATACCGCAGTATGTAGCGGTAAACTTTACCACCAATCTAGCGGTATCCCAATAAACTAAGGCATAGGAAGATTGGCATAGCAGAAAATATTAAATATTAAATTAGAATTTTAGCTCTTGGTAGTCGTTCTTAGTGTTACTTAATGAGAATTAATTTGAATTCATTATTTTTCTTAAAAGTCAATTGACATTTTATAATTGAAAAGTACGAAAATCTGAATTGAAAATAGTGAATATTCGTTTGTGATAACATTTGATAAAATATTCAAATTGTCTTTTTAAACTATTGAACTAACCTGAATTGAATGATCGATTAGTGGAAGCTTCGAAAATTCGTCTATTCGTATTATGACCGAATTATTGACCATAGCCGAATATCCAGACATTTGAAAAATTGAAATTTCTTTGGTCAAATATTCGTAATTCAAATATCCGAATAGTCGAATTATT